TGGAAAATCAGGTTTCATTTCAGTTAAAAAACAAACAAACAAAAACCCAGAAACTCAGTGGCCAAATAGTTAAGCAGAGGACTTCCTCTGTTTGTTTCACAAAGTGAAGAAAGATTTTGAATCATGTATGTGAAGAAAGGAAAACACATCACTTTTAAATAAATAATTAGACAAATTAGGGCTTAATTATAAGATCTTTTGAAATGGCTTTTTTTCTGCCTTCGTGGAAAACTATTTTCTGAATACACACATTTGTCCTGATTGATATAAAACAAGAATCCACTGCACATATTTTTTGTCCTTTTTTGGGTGAGTTTTTATTTCATTTTCATTCTTGGGATTAAGATGAACTTTCTTTGCATGATGTTTATCATACTTACTAAAAAACTAGAACTGCAAGCGTTTTGACAAATGGAATGCAGTGTCTAGTTTTTAAAACACCAAGGTGAGAGTTGACGCCTTAGGGTTCAGTCCCTGGCCATGCCATTGACTTGCTTTATGACCTTGGAAAAGTCAATTAACTTCACCGTACCTCAGTTTCCACATCTCTAAAATGGATTTATCCACTAGTAGATATGGGTGATTGATTGGTGAAAGATGCCATGGCTGAACAGAATTATTCTCCTCCAAGAAGTTTCTCTGCCGATCTCCACTGTAGGAACAGCGTGTCCTGCTAAGTGAGGCTCAGACTTATTCACTGAATTAAGCCATGCACATGCTCATACATCTCAGATCAAGTATTCTGGACCTGAGGTTGAGACCCTGCACCCAAATATCTATTCATCAGTTGGTGCAGCCATTGAACTAGCCTCTGCCTCCTGTGTAGGCTAGTTGAAAGTTCTTGCTAATTTAAATTGTTCTTGAAAAAACAAAAGAAGTTTCTTGTTGTTTAACCTCACTCCTTTGGAGTTTGTCTGTGAAGAGACTTGCCCAAGAAGGATAACAGATGAGAAAAAGATGTGAGGCAAGAGGTATCCCATGAAAACGTTTCTTACTCAGACCAGCATGCCAAATGGTTAGGCACCCTGTATGGCTTCTCACAGAGAAGAGAAACCTCAGGCATAAAGTAATTTGCCTGGAGGACCCTTTGGTGCCTGCAGGACATCTGTGGAGCGTCTGTGCAAGGCATGCCCTTGGTTCCAGTAAAGCAGGGGTGGGCAAACCTTTTGGCCCAAGGGCTACATTGGGGTTGCAAAACTGTATGGAGGGCCGGGTAGGGAAGGCTGTGCCTCCCCAAACAGGCTGGCTCCTGTCCCCTGACTGTCCCCCTCAGAACCCCCAACCCATCCTACCCCCCTGCTCCTTGTTCCCTGATCGTCCCCTCCTGGGACCCCCCGCTCCTAACCACACCCCCGGGACCCCACCCTGTATCCAACCCCCCGTCCCCTGACTGCCCCGACCCCTATCCACACCCTTGCACCCTGACAAACCCCCCAGGACTCCTATGCCTATCCAACCCCCCTGTTCCCCATCCCCTGACCAGAACCTCTGCCCCGTCCAACTGTTCCCTGTTGCCTGCCTCCCCCGCCCCCGCAGAACCTCCGCCCCATCCAACCGGCCCCCAGGCCCCCAGGACTCCCATGCCTATCAAACCGCTCCCTGTCCCTGACTGCCTCCCAGGACCTCCTGCCCCTTCTCTAAGCCCCCCTCCCCACTCCCTCTTACCATGCTTCTCAGAGCGGCAGAACTGGCTTATTGGAAAGCCTGGGAGGTGGGTGGGCGCAAGCTGCCCGCATGGTGGTGTGACTGTGGGGGCGGGGGAGGGGCAGAGGCTAGCCTCCCCGGCAGCGAGCTCAAGTGCCGGGCAGGATGGTCCTGCGGGCCGCAGTTTGCCCACCTCTGCAGTAAAAGCATTAGGAGCTTGTCTGAATTCAGTAACAAATCTCAAAAGCCCTCCAACTTCTGTGAGACTATATTATGTATTTTACCCCCATCAGTTGGCCTGTCATTAGTACTAGGATACTTACCTTCTGCAAAGTTAAAAAAAAAATCAAAATTCCTAAAACAGATTGGAAATTGGCAGAAAAGGACTAAAACGAGCCAAAGCTGCTGTTCTAGTCTACCAAACTAAGTAATTATAATAGCCTCATGGTCATTTCACTCACAGCTTGAGAGCAAAAGTGAAATGAACACAAAATACTTATTTCTTTCATGTTAAAAATGGAGGGCCAGATTCACTGCTGCTGACAGAACACAAGTTGCAGGGCTCCTTAACAGAATGGGGGAAGCACAGCAGCAAACCCCATTCCACGAAGGGCTCAGGGCTGCTTTGTGCAGCTTAGAAACTGGATTGGACCAGCTGTGGAGAAGGTGTGGCCGAAGCACCTGGGAGAAGAGCTGATGCAGACATGCAGATCTCACTAGTGAAGCTTCTGTGGAGCTCTAGCCAGAATTAAAAACTCTTCCTTTCTAATGGGACATAGAAGGGAAGGTAATAGGCAGTGCCATTGTTTGCCATTCCCGCAGGGGAATCCCTCACAGGAAACAGGAGTTAACAAATAGCAACCCTACAGCAATTTCAGTTGCGAACTAAACCCAGGATTTTAAAATTATCGTATTTCCCTAGTCAAAAAATAGTTTTTAATATTAAATATGTAAACCATGTGCAGTTAACCTCAGCTGCAATGTACAGAAGCATCTTTTTGTGCTAAAGGGGTTTATGGAGCTAGGACATTGAAGGTCTGGCAGGGAAACTAACCAAGCTTGGAGAAGAAACTTAGGCTGTGGTCTGTGTTTGTGGTTCTCTATTTACCCTCATCTTTGACCCAAAATTGTTCTGTGTAGGAACATGTACATTCCTAAATTAATTCATTTCTTGCTCTTAAGGCATTCTTCAACTAGATGCCTTTCTCTTCTTATTCCTCCCAACCTGTACGTTTACTTTGCCATGGTATATACTTTATTTAAACTAGCACCACTCAACAGAAAGCACGTGCTCTATTTTTTCACTCATTCAGACTGGAACAAGTGCAGCACCATAGAAGATAGTGTTCTAACAATGGCACCTCATTAGTAGCAGTGAAACTTCTGAAGTCTTCTGTGCTACATTTAAGCAAATTCAGCATTATGAAGCAATACGGTGAAAGCTTCAACAGTTTCCTGTGGGAGCCTGTCCCAAGACAGGCAAGATTGGTGGTGTTCCTTGCTTCTTCCTCTCTTCCTTTACTTTCCTTCTTCCAAATGTCTCTGGAACAGTGAAGATACTACAGTATTCATTATTACCCTGCACGTTAGCTGATAAACTGAAGCCAAGGGTATACCTAGCAATTAAAAATGACAAATACACTGAGCAATCAAATGTCTTCAGCTCATATTGTCCATAATCTCACAAAACAGAATTGCTATTACATAGAATATCATCATTTAATATATCATGGTGTTGCAGCTTGCTATAAATGCCTATCAGTGTGTTAATAAAAGGACTTATGAATCAGAAAAAAAAGACAGTCTGTTCACCACCATGAAACCTGTTGCCTCTAGAATCGTGTTGCCATATGTGTCATGGCATAAGTCACTCACTTTACACTCTTGAACCTACAGTCTTTTTTTGTTTGTCTGTCTCTGGTGACTGTTGAGGTGGAAGTTGACCAAACGACTTTGGATTTTCTTCTTAACATGGTCCATTTCTTTCCTCTTTTCCTTCAACTACTTTGTCTTCTTTCTATCCTGCATTTTTTCTTTTCTTTGTCATGATCTTTAAGTGTTTTTCATTATCTGTGATGATGTTTTTCTGCAATGAAAAAGTCAAAAACATTCAGCCCAAAATTTTCAAAAATGGGTGCCTAAATCCATATCTAGACACGTAAGTCAATGATTTAACTTTCAAGAGGGCTGGACACCCAGCAGCTCCCTTTCACTTATATGCAGTATCTAAAAAGAACAAACTTTACCTTTCAACTTCAAAGGTAGCTGTCGGGGGCTTGGAGCTTTTAAAAATCAGGCTACCTATTTAGTTGCCTAAATATGGCCCTAGAAGTCCAATTTTAGGCACCTATTTTTGAACATCTTGGTCGAAATCTAAGAGAAGATTCTTAACATCCTGATCAAATAAAATAAAAATGCATTCTAACATCCAAAGCTATGAGAGAAATCACTGGTAGCATAATGCACTTCCAAATATCTACACAATTACAGTGCTATTAACAAGGGAACCCAAAAGGTTTGGTGGTTGATTCAGAAAAATGTCCAAGATTAGGAAAAGAGCTCAAGGCAACCATTTTTCCTTAGTGAAAATGTAGGGGTAGTCTCAGGCTGATCTCAACCAACTTAATTAAGATAAAAGATATTTTCCTTAACATAGATGCAGGTTAACATCATGGCTATGTCAAATTTAGTTTGCATGTGTTAACAAAGCCTCACCTTATCTTGACTTCTTTTGCTAATGTAGTTAAACCCTCAAAAGATTTCAGATGCTTATCAGAACTCTCCATACCCTTTAGTCTGCAAAATAGGGCTGTCAGTCTTGCAAAATGTGTGTTTTCTCATGAGATTTTGGTCGGGCCAGGATTAGTGTAAGAACAGCCTTTCATATGTTGTTTTGCCACTTATGCTTTTGGACCCAAGCAGAATCAGGATGTGATGAGGCACAAAATGACACAGCTCTTAAAAAAGAAAAACCTAAAAATATTAACCAACTTACTTTCTGCTTGAATGCAGTTTACACTTCGGGTGAAAGCGCTTATTGGTCCTTGTTTAACCAAGCTATTTTAACCATCTCATTATTTTGCTATGATAAGCTAAGTAGCTAATGTATAAGAAAAGCTAAAATAGCTTGGGCATAAAAGTTGCTTATAATGCTGAGTTCTAGTCTGTTTTAAATGGTGCATATAAAACATTCCTATTAACATACACAAAATTGGATCATTTGTCCTGGACTGAATCTATTAAAAACATTCAGGGTCATACTCCATTTAGAATATTTGATCAAATAATGGCAGGAATACAAGAAATATGTGTGTTGTTTTTTGTTTTGTTTAAAAGAACTGTGTTTCTCTTCACAGGAAATCAGTGATAATGAAATATTAGAACTGGTACACAGTGCTCTCGGGAGGATGACAGTTATCCGGCAAATCTTCCCTCTGTCAAGAGACAACAATCAGAGATGCATGAGAAATAATCATAGAATATCTTCACTGCTCTGTGATCCACAAGAAGGCTATCTGCAGATGCTGCAGGTCAGTAAAGTGTTGGTGCGTGCAAGGGTCCTTAAGAACATGACATGAGATAGTTGTGTGTGATTGTGAAGTTTCACAGGAACCAAAGGAAGGAAGAAGTCAAATGAATACTTTAAATCTCAGCATGCTGAATCTGAGTGGCATAGTTCGTGACTATCCTTAATTATCTAATTCCTTTCCTTTCCTGGGACTGGGTGCTTTAGATCTGACATTGTCTGCATAAAGTATTAGCAGGCAGTTACAGTGACTCTTAGTTGATTTGGGGCATTTCATCCCATCAGGGATCTAGTTTTTTTTCTCTCTCTCCCCCCACACCCCTGCACCCCCGTGTGTAGATATATAGATGATATAGTATCACGTTTTGTTGTTATGCAATTCCAATTTTGCCTAACTACTGCATTTATGCCTATTAGCCATTTCATGTGAAAGGATTAATTTATGAGTTAAGTTATGTATTGGGATATAGAGCCTTTTACTTCCAAGTGTCTGATGCTATATCTGTTCTATATCAGCAGCCGTGACTGGATGTCACTAACATCTGATGGCTATTTGGCCTACGAGAAATGCACTACTGCTATTAGTAACAGTCTGTAACAGTCTAGGCTATTGAAACCAACATCTCAAGCCCTGTTTGAAGATATCTTTTATTAGCAAGACATCCATTCCAGGTGCCAAGATTCCTCAAAATAAGGTGCAACATCAATTAGTGAATTAAGTGAAAGTAAAAAGTGAATAGAGAATATTTGATGAACTATATGATGAAGATCCTAAATCACTGAGGCACTTTTAAAAATTGCATCCATAGTACTCATGAAAGATGCTGGATAGAACTGAAAACCTTTATTTATTCACAAGATAGGTGAAGCAAAGGCAGTTGCAGAACAAGGAGTTTCCTACGCTACCCAGCCAATGTGCTAGAACACTGACTTGATGGGGCGGGGCAGGAGAATATCAGTGTAATTGAAAGGGTAGTTCCTAGTCCATGTTCATTCAGAACCTGATCCAAAGCCTCATGAAGTAAATGGGATTATCCTTGGTCAAGTTAATACTATCCACCCAATGAGGGTACCAGCTGTAACAAGTGTCACTGATAGCAGATATTGGCCCTGTGTGGGTAATGTACTTTTTGCAACTCCAGGCACTGTATATTTGAATACTGTGCATCATATAGTCAGATACTATATAGAAATAGAGCTGCATTATAGTGATGTAATTGGCAAGTAGATTCAGACAGTATGATTTTAAAGTAAAGATTTATTACTTCAGTAAATCGTTTTGAAGCCTGAGAACTAGGCTTTCTGTTCACTTTTACTGAATCAGTATTCCTTTTTAATTAAAAGGACCCTGTCAAGATATTTCATAATTTTCTCAAATTCAATATTTACTCGTTTTAATCACCTGAAATTTTGCAATTTTTGAGAGCTGCTTCTATTGTTAAGGCACCCTGATTTCTTACTGAAGGTCAGGTCTCAAGTGCTGGATTGCTGTCAGGTTTTATTGTTTTATAAGAAAAAACAATATTATTTTTATTTAAATAAAATATAAAAAGGCAGGCCATAACAAATTAGATGGATTTTATAAGCAGATACTGGTAATGAACGGTTGGTGAGATTTTGCGCTATATCCTGGAAAACTTGAAAGTGTCCCTTTCAAATCAAATTAAATCTTTATCAAAGTTCATTACTGTGAAAGAGTTTGAGAGGTGTCTCTTCCACAAACATTAACAACCCCTTATATTGTCTTACTGCTCCAAGAAGACTTGTATAACTACCAAAGCATAGAAATGAGAAGTTTTGTTCTGTGTTAGTGACCTCCAAGATGGATAAATCCAGGTTGCCTGGAGTCAGAACACAGGCCGCTTACTTCAGGGAATCTGAGTATATTCTGGGTTGTTGAGAAAATAATTTGCATTGCACCAGCAGATGACTTAATTGGGGAACAATTTTACATCATGGCAGGATTTTGAATATTATTGCCCATCTGCTTATGCACAAATCCATTTCAGAGACTAGTCTGAAGGACTCCTCTGACAGACTTCTTCTGAGTTATCATGTGTCAAGACAGTAATATGTTTGCTAGCGTGCATAACCTAGTTCCATAATTCTAAACTGTATTGACAATAAAGCTACAGGTTTCTGCTAAGTAGTCTCCTGACTCCTTGAAGAATTGGTCTCTCAGGGGTGAAAACAGCTACAGTACTCAGCATTTCTAGAGATGAGCAATCTGTGAGCGCACAGGATGCTCAGAAATCCAGTTATAGATTTTAGATAGTAAATTAGCCCAGTGTGGTCCTTGGTAACATACAAGATGTTTCTGAGATCTTATCTGCATGCAGAGCAAGCTACTTTTGTATAAATCACCCAAATTAATCACTTGAGGGATGATCATCTTTAAGGAGGGAGAAAGCCTGGCCACTAATTAGAGGGGTGGGGGGTTATTCACTGAAAAATGCAGTTTTTGTCAACCCAAAACTATTTGTGAATTTGACACAAATTCGCTCAATAGTTTCAGCCCAAAATTCTTTTCAGGACTTAAGTGCCATTCACAAAATGGGGGTTAGGGGGAGGGAGGCAGCGAAGGAGGAGGTGATGGTGGAACAAAGCGGAACAACTTCAACAGTGGAAATTGAGAAAGACCAACATCAGAATATCCCATAGTGCAGTGGTTAGCGCACGCTACTGCAGCATGGGAGATGCAATTTCAAATCCCTGCTCCCTGTCAGGCAAAGTGGGAAATTGAATCTGGATCTCCCACATCCCCAGGTGAGTGCCCTTAAACACTGGGCTACAGGGTTATAATGTGAGCATCACCGCCTCTTCTTCCTCCTGATGTTTTATGAATCTAGCCCTTCATTTCCTTTGCTTTCATTTGAAAAAGTGCTCCAAAATGATACATTTTGTTCAACCTGAAATAAAATTTTGTCAGCTTCTTTGATGAATTTTTGGGGGGCATTTTCAATTGTGGTTTGGGTTTTTTTCTTTTCAGTTTTTGGAACTGATAGCAAACCGAAAAATCAATTATTTACTTTGTCCTACCTCATTTTGGTGAAAACAGGGAAAATGCAAAGGCATGTCTCACATTTAAAAGGGAAATCATCTGAGGGATGATAGTCTCTTCCATTAACAAAAATTTCCAAGGAAGTATTATCCTGCCTTCCATCGTGTGTCATACCCCACCTGAGAAAGCATCCTTGCAAATGAAACAGTAATTAAATTTCCATGCCCATTCAATCTTACGTCCTCTGCTCAAAAGATCAATAGGGGAGCCAAGTGTTGTGGTATTTCTTGTGCTGTGGACAGTTAGCTACTAGGAAGTTAACTCAGAAACCACCAGGGTATTTTTTTCTTCATGACCACTGAAGAGTTTCCAAAGAGTAAATTGTGAGATCAGGATGAAATGCTCTGTGCCCCATTATTGATCCCTCAAACCATCCAATCCCTGTATATTTTACAATTATACAGATTTTGATCATGGAATTTTTTATCCAGGTTTAGCTTACTTATTATATAGCTCCAGATCTATCAGGTACTTTGAAGAAATACCCATCAGAGCACACCTTGTGGAGATGCATCTAGTAATTATTTCATAAATGTGAATTACACATTGTTAATGGTCCCTTAATTTCAAGTATTCTACATTTTCTATTTTCTTTTTTGGGTAGGAAATAGATTTAGTATCTTGTATTACACCAGACCCACTTGAATTATTTTGTATTACAAAACATTCCCTGTCATGGTTTGTTACCAGCCATGGCTGGTTCTTTATTTTCTTTTAATGACTTTGTAAAAGGAAACTAATATCTGCCAGCTTCTAAATTTATTTGGGAGAATATAACATTTAAAACAACCTAATAAAGAAAAAAACATTTAGGTCATGGATTATTAACTTTGTCTTGGCTAAATTAATGAAAATCCTTTTGGAGCAACTCAGTTCTTAGTATTTTTAGTACCACTTCCTAGGAAGTTGTTTTTTAGGGGGTGATCATCCTGGCTTGGAGTCTGATGAGCCTTGAAAGATCAGACCATTCTGCAAACTCATGCATAGCTAATTTTTCAGAACCTTTTGTGGAAGTCCTGTTTTACTCTGTCCTTGGCAACATGCTCTTATTCCTAGCTAAGAAAGCATTACTTTAATAAACTCCACTGTATTTCTGTTTAGAATGGAGAAAGTCCTTTCTAAAATTGCCAGTCTTGGAGGCTTCAATTTGACATTAGAGGGAGGACAGCATTAGTCTGTGTCCAACTCTTCAGAAATTGTTTTCTGTCTATATGCATTTTCTCATTCTTATTTCTTGGTGACCTGTGTTAACACTGGCAGCCAGCATCCTGTACTCCTTTTAAGCATCAGCCATATCTAGCCTGTCTGTCTTCTTTGTCTCTGACTCTCATCTGGAGTTTGGAAAGATAATACTAAACCACCTTTGTGAAGTGCTTGGATATTTATGAATGAAAAGTGGTATTTATGTGCTAAGTATTCTTGTTAATCTAACGTATTCCTAATATATCCACCTCCCTGGTACTTCTGTGCAACAAGACTGCCACTGTTACACAGCTTGAACTATATGACATATTGTTTTAGACTCTTGAGTTTGGAAATACTTTAATTGTCTAGTTCCTCCTCCCAACCTCTTCCCTTTGCTTTACATGAGGTTTGAAAATGTCTCTTTGTCCTTGATTTGTGATTCAGATAATTTTCTTTGTCATGATTCCATTTTTATTTTATTTGTTGTTGATCACATTTATTATTTATACAGCTGATAACTTAGTTCACCCTTTCTGAGGCCTTGTTTGGATTCAAGCATGTTATAAAGGCCTGGGGCATCTAACGTTTATTTGACTCTAAATATGCAGCAAGATTAAAACTAATGGGACTCCATACAGCAATGGAAGAATAGTGCAGTTATTCCTCAGTGTCATCAGAGTCCCACTTCTTTACTTTAGCAATGTTCCAGACGTTGTTTGGATGTTTTTGGAGAGGGTAGGTCAGAAGGCAGAGGAGGG